AAGTGGCAAGGCCTCTCAATAACAAAATCTGGCAATTTTTTTAAACTAAACCCTCAATAATATTATTTGTATAAAGCAGCTTTTTGGTTTTTGCGAATCAACAAACATGATCATGATGTAAAAAACTAAGTTGAGGATGGTTTCTTGAAAACGAAACATCGAAACAATAATCTCTGATTACGTGACTTAAAACTGCTAAGAAAATGTGCTCGGGTTTACTGCAGCTATAATAAGTATTAGCATCAAAAATAATATTGAAGTTCGATGAAGGTCCAATCCAGACTGAGCATTACTAGTTGCGCAATTGTAGCAAAGATGCAGCTGAGAAAAGCGCCTCATCCTACCAAATCCGAACGTAAAAACATCGATTTGTCAGGAATAACAAGGGATTTTTAAGGCGCGATCTCACAAAATCGTATCGGACTTCGGACTACTTGGAAGACTCGCATCTAGATGCTTTGGCAGGTACCCCGTCCGTTCGGTCGTACCGGGAGATACAAAAGTTTTGAATGCGGGGCGTCCTGCATCTATTGTACACTTTAGATTTTTAGAAGAAATTTTCTCTTTGACAGAACGGAAATACTTATTGACTTGCTCTGCTGAGAATTATATCGCCATGTACCATAACCACTTGAAGACCATGACCATTTCAGAACTCATGAAATGAAAAATGCAAAGCTACCGCAGAATAAGGTGTTCAAAGTTGGAAAATTCCAAAAAAATTAACATTTAATGGAACAGCGCACAGAACGAATATTCTCCAAAAATATTCTATTAATATTGCTGATACATATAGTTTATCACTCTTACGGCGTTGTGTCGAAAAACAGAGGTGAGCGCCAAGCAGGTAACCTATTTAGCTAAATCGGTGTCGATGAACTCGGCAGCAATTGGAGGCCATTCACAACGACGTGGAGGGATTGGGGAACGTGCTCCCATTGGCAGGATGTGAACTCATGTACGCTAATCTCCAACACCGTTGCCACGTATGCCAGCTTTTCTGAGAAAAGTCTCAGATAATCACTCTGGCGAGTCTGGCGGGTCTCAGCTAATCCAATCTGGATTGAGTGAAATATACTCAAAGATCTATGATAGTAAATGAAGCACCGCAAGTATAAGTGAGTGCCAAGGCATTATTTAATGGCAACGAATGAGGAATATAAAAAGCTCGGCAGCATTGGACTATTGCTCAACCTCCAGTTTTAATTTCATCTTGCCCCACATTCCCTCGGAAGGCGAACCGAGGGAAATGAACTAGCCTCGCGAGGAGAAGCTTTTAACCTCGATTATTCGAACGTTCGCGAACGAGAAAAGAGCCGGAACGAGGGGCCTGGTGACGAGATTAGCACATTTGACACCGATAATCCAATACGGGCTTATTATGTGGAGACACGGCCGCAAACCCACAGTTCAACCGAAGGAGATGAGGCAAAAAACAACAATTTGAACATTCTATCAACCTTTAAAAATACTTAACTTTTATGTAATGGAAATTAGAAAACTGATTCAACAATACATATATGCAATATTATGTCCTCTGCTCAAGTGGTGCGTTTTCTGAGGACTGTTGGTTCATCAGTATTCCGGCCGGTAAATGACGTCAACTTATTAAGCCAGCGAGCTCGATAGTCGAGTTCGCTAATTTTATTTAAAGTTATTTACAGCATAGGTAAGAGAGAGAACGGGGCGAGCGCCACATTGGAGCGAGACAGCGAGTGGCGCTGAAGGCCGAGTCAACGAACTAGTCTCCACAGAGGCGCCGCTGGCCCAGATACCTCAAGATGAAATGAAAAGTGAAAATGATATTTTATGACCTGCTCAAGGGATCTGAAGTCGAGCATTTGAGGCAATTTTTTAACACCTGCATTTTATATGGGGTGAAGAATTGCACGTTGAGTATTGATACGATTGGGTGAAAGTGCCCAAAATTTAGTGAGGAGGGAAAAACTAAATGGATCTCACCTGCCAGCACTCGGCCCAATAGATGTTCCTCACTGTCTTGCGAGCAGGGTCCGATTACCACCTCACCCTCCACTTCCATATCATCCACCACTGATTGCACAGTGGCGCAAGTTGTCTCCTTAAAATCATTCACGGTCATTTTTGCTCCGTTTTGACACTGTCCTGTATCGCGGACGCACTACTTGCACGTTGTCCCGGTTTGTTTACCTGTCAATAACGTCACGCGCTACCTTTTGTTTTCGTTTTGGCGAAAATCAAATAGGCTCGCACTCGTACGTTGTTGCGACTCGACGGAGCGATAATGCGCTACAGCGGCCAGCGTGCCATTGCGCGGTTGCCGCCTATTTAAATTCTGGGCGATTTACCGGAAAAACTTTTAACCTGCTCTTGAAAATTATGGATTTTTTGCTGCCGTGCTTCGGTTTCTTTGGCCCACCTGTGGGTAAGAATGAAAATATTTGGGTGACAAGTTACGCGATGGAGATTTTGCAAATCTATAGTAGAAAGATGTTTGCTGATGAAGCTTAACAGGATAACTCGACGCTAAATGTGGCAAAAGCGAGCGAGCAGTGAAGCGCGCGCGGGCAGTGGCGCCCTGACCTACTAACTCACATTCCCGGCCGGGTCGACGAACCGCTCCAATGTCTTCTTCATGGGTGATGCTGCTGACGCTTGTGGAGAAAGGGAATTTCGATTTCGTTTGCTGAATGATATAAGAATGAATGTAATGGGGGTTTTCTAAAAGCAAATTCAACAAGTAAAATCTGAAGCCTTTTGGGAAAAACTAAGACCATTCTTAAATGGAAACTTTACTCCAGTTTACTTAAAAATTATTAGCTCGATTAATGTCGAACTTTTTGACAGGAGCGGTCGATTTTGATTCAAACAAGCACTAACACAGGCAAAAAAACCTTCTAAAGGTCGAACTTCTGATGGACTTAAAAATCCCTGTCAAAGGTATGGTTGGAAGCAGAGACATTTCACTCAGCTATTTTCACTAGATAATGTGGACCACGTAAAACGTTGCAAAATTGATCTGTGCTAAGGTTGGTGTAATGAGAGTTTGCATGGAAATACAGGTCTGTATACACAGGAAGGTGATTCGAAATTTGCTCACTTAGAAAGCTTACTCAAATAAATACATTAAATCTGTCGGTATCACCCTATATATCATTGGTTTGGGAAACACAATTTGAAACATTGAATTCTTTGCAGCTAATTAGATTGACTGAAAGTTTGATAAAGAGTTAATGCCAAGAAAAAGACCAAGAGTTTGATTCAATAATGAAAATCGAGGGTTATTCGAACTTCGTCCACTCATTCTACCATTCTAACTAACTATTGACGACTCTGTCAATTAACTAGTAACACGAGGGCAATTATTTGTCCTTTTTCATCATGAGCTGTTAGTTGCTAATGAAACATTTCTCTTCGATAGTCGTCGATTGATGATGACGTGAAAGCGGCGAAACGATTGATGAACTATAAACAATGACCCGTACATGCAAAATGGCTGTGTTGAAAGCAAAACGCTTACGGAAATATTTTATGGCCTCAGATTAGAAATCCATTATTCAAATAAATACATACGTACAGTTGGCGAAATCCTAATGGTACCTGGGTGGGTTTTTTGCTACATTTTTACATACGGACATGTGTGGTACCTACTTATACTATAAAAACTGCTAAGAGCGTAACATAATAAAATATCATAAAACTTTTGAAAAAAATTATGATTAGAAGCCTTTAGAACATTATTTGCTTTTCTGGTTAACCCGAATTTCGAAGGCAACTGCAATGGAAATATTCTCGATAATTATTTTCTACATAAAGAAGGCCGTCTACTCTCTAATGGAATGACCCAGGTCATTGGTGTCTCCCATAAAACAAAGTACATATATCGGTCAAACGACGCCGATAGTCATTTGTTGGGTTTCTTTTTTGTTTAAGCTTCCCTTGATAAAGCGACAAATGTGGAACGACGGGTGAACAACCGTGGTTGAGTTTCAGGGCTGCCCGATTCAGGTCCGGACTTCACTTGATTTCTACCTTTAACGAAACCACTTTTTCGTGTTTTTCAATACTTTCACCACAAATACCAAAGATTCGAAGAAGCAGTTAGCGTTTTAGTGACCTTTCGCTCAATATGACAAGCAAGGAAAAGTTGATGGACAAATCGCGTTACCTAACGCGAAAACAAATAAAAAGTTCAATGCTTCTTCGGCAATCTAGAACGACCCGATTTCTTTATGGGATGTGAAAGTGTGCGGCTAAAAACAAAAGTGAGCAGTACATAATAGAGAAACAATTGAAGAAATTTGGCCTGCTTTCTTCACTCAGTGACGATATCGATGCTGGTTTGTTTTCGATTATGTCATGGCGTGGCGGATTCTCACGATCCAATCGTATTTTATTTGAAAGCGAAAACGGTAAAGCTTGCATTGTATTATCTTTAACTGTTTTAAAACTTAAAGTTTTTGAATAAAAATGTAAATATATGTGTTTTAAACTGGACCAAGGGCTTATTGCAACACAACAATAAGAACCCGTTAGGTTTTTGTTTAGTCATGCGGATGTGGTTCTATTTTTCTCAACAACGAAACCTGTTAATGCTCACGCCCTGATTGGTCGGCTATTCATCAAAGTGGCCCATTTTGAAACTAGTCCGGATATCGTCTGTGAGGACGGAAGTTGACACTTTTCAGGCTTCATTTCCCGTGTCTCGTTTTCACATCAGCGCCATCAAAAAGGCTTGATCGCCACATAATCCGTTACAAACTAATTTTCGCTCTCGCATCTCATTTGCACGGGATTTACGAAAACGCCGTTCCAGCTTTCTATTCATTGTTATCACCCAATGGCAGGTAGATCCTTGAAAATTGTGTCAAGAGGCGAATGTGGGTCAAAAGGGGTAGAATACATCCAACTGCCCCAATTCCCAACTGGAAATCTAGGCCAGATATGAATAAGCCATAGAGCGACACAATAGTCAAGTGATTGCCCGTGCTTCTGCTGCAACGGTTTTATACATATTTAAATATTTCATGTAAATTATCGTAACATTTTTTCCGTCACACTCCGTATATTACGGTGGCCCTCAACGGTTCACTGCTCTCGAATCTCATGTGTGTCAGCACCAGTTGTTTGTTTGCTGTTTCACTCTCGATCGGCATCGACTTAGCCTTTTATTAGCAATATTAAAGTTAGACACTTTGCGCGTTTATGCAGGTTTACTAATTCGAAACTACAAACTTCAATTTACTACTTAATTTACTAATTAATCGTAGCATACACACTCCGATTGCTTCTGGAACGCTCTGCTGCAATTATCTCCTCTTGGTCGTCCACTATCTGCCTCAATTCCTGGAGCCAATCGTCTAGTGTCTAACCCTTTGCAGATGTAAGTTCTGACAGCTTATAAATTTTCATAATTTGAATTAAAGATCGTAATTTTTCTTTTCGAATGCATAAGTGCACTATTTACAAAATAATACTTATTAACAAAGTTGCAATTCGATTTTCAACTACTAAAGCTTCTAGAAATTTTCGAAAACATTTTTTTAAATATTTTTCTCGAACTCTCCAAGTGCCAATTTTAAATCACCCTCTAGCAAGATCGGCGCTGCAACTACCGCTGAGGATACAAGCCACTCGTGCTCGCGAAACGTCGGGAAGAAAGCTGTTTGTTATTTCTTGGAGTTGAAATTTTCTATTTAATTCTGTAATCCACTGTTGTGCAATGTATCCAAAAAACATATGCGTGCATTTGTTTAATATATTCTGCTCTTATAACCCGCTGTATTATTTTACACCTGATCCAGTTTTTCTAAACCTTTTTTAGCACAAGACACAAGAAGTGATAGTTTGAGTGTTTTGTGACGTCCGTGTATGTCATTTTACTGTGACATAATGCCGTGAAAATCACGTCAATTTGACTAGACGAAGTAGGTGACTTTGACAAACATAGACTTAAGCCATTAGAAATGATTATAGTACTTGTGCAAACCGGGGTTCACTGAGGTAATTTTCTTTCAAAAAAATAACCAATGATGGAAATGACGAGGCAATAATTCTGAGGAAAGAAAAGGCTGCACAGAATAAACAGCAAAAAAATAATATTTTAAAAGGTCTAAAGGGCATTGATAGTAAATGCTAGATTGCGAACGAAAAAATTGTTTGGGAAGGATATATGTTCTAAACGAAGGACGCATTGGCATTGCTAACCATAATAAATAAAGATCCAATAAATCGGAGAAAACCGTTTGAACAACAATGTGCAGGTGGATTACTTGAAAACATCATTAGGAAAATTATAATGTGTTACGGGCAACTTCGCCTGCACTCTCATTTGATTAATAGAAGCTGATCATATCAACCATCCAAAAGTCTGGGAGAAAGCTGTTTGTTATTTCCTGGAGTTGAAATGGTCTATTTAATTCTGTAATCCACGGTTGTGCAATGTATCCAGAAAACATACGCGTGTGTATTTGTTTAATATATTCTGCTCTTACAACCCGCTGTATTATTTTACACCTGATCCAGTTTTTCTAAACCTTTTTTAGCACAAGACACAAGAAGTGATAGTTTGAGTGTTTTGTGACGTCCGTGTATGTCATTTTACTGTGACATAATTCCGTGAAAATCACGTCAATTTGACTAGACGAAGTAGGTGACTTTGACAAACATAGACTTAAGTCATTAGAAATGATTATAGCACTTGTACAAACAGGCGTTTACTGAGGTAATTTTCTTTCAAAAAAGTAACCAATTATGGAAATGACGAGGCAATAATTCTGAAGAAAGAAAAAGCTGCACAGAATAAACAGCAAAAAAAAATTATTTTAAAAGGTCTAAAGGGCATTGATAGCAAATGCTAGATTGGAAACGAAAAACTGTTTGGGAAGGATATATGTTCTAAACGAAGGACGCATTGGCATTGCTAACCATAATAAATAAAGATCCAATAAATCGGCGAAAACCGTTCGAACAACAATGTGCAGGTAGATTACTTGAAAACATGATTAGGAAAATTATAATGTGTTACGCGCAACTTCGCCTGCACTCTCATTTGATATAACAGAAGATGATCATGTAGAAAAAAATAAGTGCTCATAAGGATACGTCGTTTAGCACTTCAACCGTCATTCTTCGTTAGCGTGTCAGTTTGCGAAAGGTCTCCAAGTGGAAACGGCGAACACTGGAGCGATGGCCTCAATTTTTGAGGTTAAATCCGAGGCGGTATCGCTGGGTCGACGAACTCGCGCCAAACGCGATCGCTTTACTCCACGTTATCAGTCCCTGGTTCATATAAAAATAATTTTTTATTCGTTCAAGGTCTCCGCGACCAGCGCTTTGTTCAACGCCACTGGCACACTTTTCGATTTGCCAGATGATGTTGATTCACCAGGAAATGATGATTACATAGGGAATTACGGCCCCTTTGCCAGTCTGCCACAACCACGCAAATACCCTCAAGCATTTTCGGAAAACAATCAGTTGGGTTGAACTAAAGCAGGAGGATGTTGCATCTATTTATACATTTAGACATCCCCAGCTAGGATTACCGTCAAGCAGAATGAGGTACCATCAAAACAGTGTTTTTTGGGGAGGGGGGGTTGCAATCAATTTTGTTTAAATATAATTGATGTCGTTTGAGAACCAAAAAGATCGCATAATAACCGAAAGTGTCCATGAGAAAGTGATACGTCACCGCTTTGCCTCACCGACAGACCCCATTATAGTTTGCTGAACCGTCCACTAATCTGGGTCAGGTCGAATGGACAAAGAGGGGCCGTTGGGGCGTCGCCATGGGGCGGACAGAGAACGACTCGTCATTAGCTAAACCGAGCACAAAAGTGACAGTAAAAAATACATTATTAATAGAGAGCTGTTGGCTTGTTGGGTTGGTATTTTGTCACTTAAGCTAGGTCAACGACATCGGATTGAATTAGGTTGAAGTTACTTCTCAAAAAATACCAAACTCTCTCAAGTTTACTGAGACTACCTTGGATAGACTTACCGGTACCCTTGAAAGAAATGAGTTTGTAACGATTCCACCCCAACATGCTACAGTCGCATCCGCACAATTAGAAAACTTTTTCAAAATTTTAAGCCGCTGTTTCAAATCAAACCGCATTCTTTTGCTCCTTAATTGTGATGTTAATTATCCAATAATCGCATAACTTTCCATTTTTTTAATGCCTTTCTTTCACTTGCGAAGAAAGTGAAAACGAGTGGAGAGCAATGGCATCTCGAGTTTGTAAATTTCTCCTCGTCAAATGGCTGAACATGACCTATCCGAACTGCACGTAAAAGTCAGTAAAAGTTACCAGATTGAGGCCAAAGAAAGGCAATAAATTACATATTCCCACGATTATTGTAATAAGAAATGTGCTGTTTTTGGTTATCGAATCGATCCATATTTTTATGAGTACTTACAGTAGCTGGTCAGCATCGGAATTGCTTACCTGAAACAAGAAAAAAAATTATAAATGCAAGCAGAAAATAACCAATATACTAAAATAAACCAATATCTGAATGCACGCAAGTTTAATTGTTTCTATAACTTTGAAACGCGATTATTCGGAAACCTCTGAAGAAAAAGCAACAAAGTAACTAATGTAAAGAGAATTAAACGCCCTTTAAAACGATGTGCCACTTGACCCCCCTTCCCATTTAATATTCTCAGGATGACATCTACCCCTCCTATGGGGTTGAAACAAGGACGCTAAAAATAGTAATTTCAAATGTGCCCCTTACACATAAAATTGGAGGGTTTTCCGATTTTTCATAGTTTTAACTGCAAGAAAGATATTAAGGTTGGAATTTTTGAAATTGACACCCCGCATGAGAAGCTTATGATGGTCATATTCCCGAAAAAATTTCCGAAAGTCGATCGAATAATGGTCATAAAAACCGTGTGTTATACTGTACGACAAACTCAAGATTGGATCAACAAAACCAGTTTAAATCCAGACCTTGCGAATTTACGTTTCACATGCACAAACGTTTGTTCTTGCATATTTTTGGAATGCGTTTGCTCTTGTGACACACATTAGAAAAATAATTAGATAACTTTTATTAACAAAAAGACTGCTATCATTTGTCAAGGTTCTTTAAAAATATATATTTTTTATAAAATCTGGAGAACTTGCTGAGGATTGGTTCCTATGTACCTAGTGCTCTTCTCTAATTGAAGCTAGAGCAGATCATCCCCATTAAGCAAGTTTCAACTCTCGAGTGTCTCGACACAAAAACTTGCAGAACTTTTCGTTCGTAGGGGAATCGAATATTTTTTTGGTTCAATGAAACTGTAACACTTTTCCGATATTTTCGAACTCTTGGTAAAATCTAGTGGCATTCGTAGTTTTTGGGCAAACATAATTTTGCTGTTTCCGCGCTATTTAACAATTTCAGGCGTTTTAAGATAAGATACCTAAACCGACGTGTTAAAACATTACCGCACATTTGCTCAAATTTACAAAAGTTTGCGGGAGGCAGAAAAGTTTGGCTTTCGAGCTTTACTCGTATGAGTCGTCCTTAATTTCCACTCGATTTTGAAAACCCATCAACCAATATGCAAAGAAAAAAACCATAATTCGAGGCATATTAATGACTTTCAGAAGGAATTTCGTATAAATGTTTGGGTCGGAACTCAAACAATCGATGAACAGTTAATCGGCGTTTTAAAGCGTTAAGTTCGGTGCATAAACTAAATTAATGAATCAAAGGTCATTCAGGGTTTATTCGTATGAAATTATGCGAAGTTAGTGGTAGTTCATAGGTTCTACTGTAGCGGACACTTTAATAGGTGACATCTAAAAATTCCCGTATTTACAAATATGCAAGCAATCCGCATACAAGACACTTTTTACCTACGTATTTTAAAATTAACGAGTTTTTTATTGATAAAGACAGAATCGCACATTAGTTTTACGAATGCGAAAAACGCAGTTTTTAAGAAGCCTGACAAACGACGGCAACATTCAATTTCGTTTCGGTTATCTTTTCAGCCGTATAGTTTCATGTGTTTTGTTCAGGGTGCAGCACTACTCGGGCTGCGTTTTACAGTCGCGGCCATCTTCCGTCCGTTCCACGAAGTCACCGCGTGGATGCTGGCTTGCTTGAATTTTACCACTTAAAAAACATTATTGTTATCAAAACGATGAAAATATGGACGAAAGCAAAGCCAGTGAGGTGGGAAAGTGTCTCATTCAAGCTCAATCAAACGGTTGCAGATAGCTTAAAATCTTTAAGGCTTGAAAATTAATTGCTTTTTTGGTTAAATTTCGAGATACTAAATTAAAATTCAAGATAAAAAAAGCTTTCCGAGCACGAAAAAACAGTTGTTCGTTAAAACACAGTCACTTGCAGTTTGCGTCGGTTCCGGTCAATATGGCGGAGGATTTTTAAATATTCTCCATCCTGATAAATATGGTCGGTTTGGACGCCACTGTCCACCCGGACATGCATTAGGGTAGCACCCCAGACGTGCATAATAATTGCGCAAATCGATTGCATACAAGCCGAGGGATGGCATGTAGCAAGTGCCACTAATAGGGGGAAAAACTTACCCTTCATTAATATACAATGTTGCCGATACGTCTCCAGAACACGCAAGACGCCAATATAAGAACATAAAAGAAAAGAAAAACATTTTGTCATTGATGACAATTTTTCAATCAAATCTCTTGATTCTGGACTGGAAAATATATGGAAAACTAATTAAAGTGTCCCAAATTAGCTCATCAATGATAAACTCCTTAACATTGACCATAAAAATGAAGTTCTTC